TTCCTGACTGCAGTCATGTTTTGATGCACAAGAGCTGTGCTGTTCTAGCTCCGCAATCTAATTGTCCAGCCAAGAGGCCTAGAAGTATTATATTACCTGTCTCTTTCTGGTTGGTTCAAAAATACAAAAGGAGGAACCTCTTTCCCTGTTGCTATTGCACAGAATGGGAGAGCTGTTGGGGATCCACACATCTGAGACCGTGCAGGTGCATGTCTGGTAAGTCCCAGTGCCCCCAGGCCCTGTACACTCAGGTGGATTGTCACTGTCTTCACAGAGTGAATCTGAGCTGCTTAAAAGTAGCTTAGAATCTGAGCTACTCCCTGCAGGAGTTAGGTCCTGTGGCTCATTCTCCAGTGGGAATGTGGGGAGCAGCATCTCACAGTGGGGATTTTGCTCTGTGTGACCCTTAGAAGTGGACCCAGTGGTCAAGGTTCTATTACATCTCTGTCATGAATTCCTCCTTGATGCACCCTCAGGTTCATGGATTAAGATGAGGGCTCCCAGTACCAACAAATCAATCAAAAAGACTCAGGAATTTTTGAGTTTCCTAGAAAGAGAAAATAAAGCATTGTAACTTTTTGTCCCAAAGCTGCAGGGTTTTTTAAAAGTACAGTTTTAAAACTAGTTTTCTAAAAACAAAAAACAAAACAAAACAAAATAGTTTTCTTTGTCTCCTATCTTTATTTCTTCTATCCCACCTCAGATCCTACCTCAGTCCCAGCTACTTGAGAGGTTATGGCCAGAGGATCACTTGAACCCAGAAGTTTGAGATCAGCCCAGGCAACAAAGTGGACCTCATTTAAAAAAAGAGAAATAGATTTGGTAGGTGATTGGAAGGATTTGTGAAAATTGCTTGCAAAGCGAAGTACAGCACTTAGCTCAGGGCTAGGAAGACAACAGGTATATATATAATACATATAAAAAGAGAGAAACTTGGGACACATTGTCAATTCATAAATTTAACTACATAGTCACAAAGCACCAGTGAAAAAGATTGCAAGTGAAATCAAGTGTGAGCCAGGCATGGTGACACATGCCTACAATCCCAGCTACTCAGGAAACTGCCAGATCTCAAGTTCAAGCCCAGCCTGGATACTTTGGTGAGACCTTGTCTCCAACTATAACATTAAAAGGGCAGGGAGCTAGGTGAGGTTGTGCAGGCCTGTCATCTCAGCACTTGGGAGGCTGAGGCAGGAGGATTACTGCAAGTTCAAGGCCAGCCTGGGTTACACAGTGAGTTCAAGACTAACCTACTCACCCACCCCCAAAGCAGGGTGGGGCATCTGGGATGTACTGATAGAGCACTTGTCTACCATGCACAAGCCCCTGGCTTCAATCCCTAGTAACACACACACACACACAAATAAAAAAAATTAAAAATAAATAAGAGCTGGAGATTTAGCTCAGTGGTAGTTGCCTAGCATGCATGAGGACCTCAGTTCAATTCCTAATACTACAAAATCAAGTGTCAGTGAATTTACTACAACCTCGATATCTGTTTATGTCCCCCCAAATTCACATATTAACCTGTGTTGCTTTATCTGGAGATGGCGCCTCTCAGGAATTAAGGTTAAATGAAGTCCTAAAGTTGGGTCCTGATCCAGTAGGGCTAGAGTCCTTGTAAGACCAGGAGGTCACTTGTTCTGTGTGCACACCAAGGAATGAGCATGAGGACAGAGGAAGAAGGCTGCCCTCTACTAGCCAGACCACAGCTCTGCAACCAAACTGGCTTGTACTTCTAGATTCCAGAAAAATGAGAAAATAAATTTCTGTTGTTTAAGCCATCCAGAATGTAGTCTTTTGTTACGGCAGTCCAAGCAGACTAATGTAATATGCCACACACTCACAGTAAGTACTTAATAAACTCATAAAGATGGAACGTAAACTTACTGCTAATATTTTTCTTGTAATGGTTAATAAAGCTGTTATCAGCAAGAGAAGTAAATCATGTATCACACAATTCAAAGTACAAAACTAAATGATTTTAGCCAGGCATGGTGCTGCACACCTATAATCCCAGCACTTGGGAGGCTGAGGCAGGAGGATCACTTCAAGTTCAAAGCCAGCCTAGGCTACATAGTGAGTTGAAGGCCAGAACTACATAGCAAGACACTCAAAAAAAAAAAAAAGCCCCACCAAAAAGAGACATATGTTACGCAACCATCACAATTTTAGAAGACATTTATCTCAAAGGAAATCCTGCCCCCATTTGCTATCCCCTTCCCATTACTCCTACCAGGATTAAGCTACCACCAATGCACTATATGTATGAGCTTGGCTGGTGGGTACATTTTATATTCACAGGACCACACACCATGCAGTGGCTGGCCTCTCAGTCGTGCTTTCAAGGTTCATCCATATTGTAGTATGAATCAGCACTTCATGTTTTAAATAACAGAATATTCCACTGTATGGATATAGCATTCTGTTATCCAGTCATCCATTGACTGGAAACATTTGGTTTCCACATTGTGGCTACTGTGAATAACCATTCTGCGGTTTCCGTGTGGACCTTTGTTCAGGTCTCTTGGGTTAGATACCTAGGGATAGTATTGCCGGGTTGAGTGGCAACACCATGTTTATCTTTTTTAGTATGTGCTTGCTTACTTTTCACAGTGGCCATATCACTTTGTATCCCTGCTAGCAGTTTGTAAGGTCTCCAATCTTTCCACATCTTCACCAATCCTTGCTGGTGTGACATTCTGAAACTAGCATCCTCATGGTGCGAAGTGATGTCTCACCGTGGTTCTGATTGCATCTCCTTCACAAACTGTTGTGCTGAGCATCTGCACATGTGCTTTCTAGCTGTTTTCCCTTCTTCAGAGAAATATCAGGGACATAAGAGGAACAGATTTTTTTTCACCAGGCTCTCATAACACTGTGATATGGCTTTATTCTATTTCATAAAAGGGAAAACTAATGATAGTGATGATAGATTTGCATTTGACTTTTTTTCAGTGCTGGGGATTGAACTGGGGGCTTCTTGTATGCTAGGTGCTGCTTATGAATTTTAAATCCATTTAAAATGCACTTGTAGGGGTCAGGGATTTAGCTCAGTGGTTCTGCTGCCTGCCTCATAAGCCAAGGACCCGAATTTGATCCCTGGTACCAAAAAAAAAAAAAAAAAAATGCACTTGTAGTGATAGGGAAAAGTTTTAAAGTTTAGTAGATTAGCTACTAAAGTAGTTGTGGAAGCAAAATAGGTAGTGTATCCCTTGAAAAGCACGCCTTAGCCCACTGCTTTTGTTGTTTAAAGTGAAAGTTATATAGCTCCTTTGATCTTTAACTCCATTATAGATAACATCCTAGCTCTGAAGAACAAAGTGGGAATCCTTGAACAAACTTGTGATATATGTGCCTTAACTGTCATGTGTTTAGGACTGTAATCAGTGACAGAAACCACCTGTGTCTAACCATTAAACAGGAACTGGAACTTTACTTAACAAAGACCACTAGGGATGAGATAATCACTGACAAAAGTATAAAAGGTGATGGACAAAGAACGCAGGGCTCAGACTCTGACCAGACCAGTTTCTGGCGGTCCTGCCTGCTTCCGAGTAAACTTATTATTTTACCCAAATTCTGTGTCTCCATGTATTTCTTTCCGCGATTCTGAAACAGGAGGGCCAGGGATTTAGCTCAGTGGTTGAGCTGCCTGCCTCACAAGTGCAAAGACCCAAGTTCAATCCCTGGTACCAAAAAAAAAAAAAAGCAAAAAAAGCACTCATATGTGTAAGAAACGATTTACTCTTTTGTAAGTTCACTTGTATTTTAACAACGAATTACTATAATAGCAGTGAGCACTTTCACTCCACCACATGTCTAGAAGGTGCCCAGTGCTTCCCATGTATCAACATGTGTGCACAAGGCAGACAAGACTCTCCCCTTTCAGGTGAGAAACAGCAACAATAAAGTGACTCCCCAGGGTCACTCAGCAGGCAGCGAACAGCTCTGAAACCTGCTCTGGGTGTGCTGATACCCTGCACCCCACTGCACTCACTTTCGTATCAGAGAAAAGATGTGCCCCAAGAGGTGACAGGGAGGCTCCAACCACTCTACCCCCTGCCTGTTAAGAGATAGAGAAATAAGATGGGAGTGTAATAAAGAGGTTTGTCACTGGATGCGCTGAAGGGTCATGGTTTCCACAGGAACATAACATGTTCAAATACATCAGACAGAATCTCAAGAAAGTAGGTCAGGTCTGGGGTGCATGCCTGTAATCCCAGTACTCAGGAGACTGAGGCAAAAGGACTGCCTTGAGTTCAAGGCCAGCCTGAGCTACATAATGAAATGCTAAACTACACAGTGAGATGCTGTCTCAAAAAAAAAAAAAAAAAAACTTAGGAAAGTAAAAAAGTTCTACTCCTTAAAGGGAAAGTTCAATCAGTATTATATCATTTTTATAACAAGAATAAGATTGAGACTTTGGATTCTGTTATGGATTGAATATGTTATCCCAAAATCTGCCTGTGACCTTATCTGGAATGGGTCTTTGCAGATGTAATTAGTTGAGATGATGCTGGAGTGGGGTGGGTCCTAATCCAATGTGATTGGTGTCCTTATAAAAAGAGAAAATGCGGAGAGAGGCATATACAGACACACACACCAGGAAACCACCTGTGCAGATAGAGGCAAAGACTGAGGTGAGGCATCTGCAAACAGCCTCAGACTTCCAGCAGTCTCCAACAGGCCCTAGAAGCCAGCAGTCTGGGGATAGATGTTCCCCTATAGTCTCAGGTGGAACTAAGCCCACCAACAATTTTTCAGACTTCTTGCCTCTAGAACTGGGAAATTTTAAGTTTCTGTTGTTGAGGCAATTTTGTTTGTGATCCTTTGATCTCATAACCCAAGAACTAAGCCAAGTACGCAGAACTTAACATCCACACAGGACAAACACCTTGATTTTAGTCTAAAAGTAAAGTAAAGGAAAAAAAATAAATAAAAGGAAAGGAAAGGAAATAATTAATTTGACTATCAAAATCCATAATCCATACAATTTCTTAATAACTGTGACTATTCCTTCACCATATGTTTATTTGCTTCAATTAGTTAAGGCATACAACCCTTACTCAAGGACCCTCCAGCCCCTGAGATCCATATAATTTTCCAAAGGCTTTACACAGTTGAAATTATTTCCACCTGAAAACGGCTCCACAGCATTTATCTGCACAGACTGTGACAACAGCACCTCAGTATCTGTATTTTGTGGAATAGTCCTTAGGAGACACCACCAGGCCCCGGCCTTTACGGGCACCACGATACACGGTCTCTATTATGTCAACCATTTCTTGCTTATCTTCCATGGCCCAATTAATCTTGTTGTTGTTGCCAGTGCCCAAGTCAATCATGATGTGCTTGTTCCTGCAAAGAGAAAAGGGTACCAATGCTCACGGAATTCCACAAAAAGAATATCTGAGTTTTTCCTGCTGTCACAATTGCTGGTTAACATTATTTTAAGGATACATATAATCAAGAGGAGAAACCATAGTTCAAGAGAAGATGGAAACAACCTACATGCTACTTCTAAAAAGTGTAACACAAGGACCACTAAGCTCTGTCTTTTTATTTCCTTTGGACAAATATCCTATGTGGTAAGCAAAGTTTTACACACTTAAAAAGACAAGTTTTTTCTAGAGGGTTGTACTAACAGTTTTCCTGAAAAGCAGTGTATATATCTTTTTATGCTGCTTTCACCAGCCCTTGGTATAAATTTATTAAAAGACTTACAAATGTGAAATGAAAATGGTATTTTGCATCATTTTTTTTTTGGAGACAAGGTCTCGCTATGTAGTTTAGGCTAGCCTCAAACTTGTGGTGATCCTCCCGCCTCCGCCTCCAGGGTGCTGGTATTACAGGTGTAAGCCACCACTCCCAGCTTTGACTTTTTGTTTTTTGGGTTTTTTTGGGTACCAGGGATTGAACTCGGGTCCTTCTGCTTGCGAGGCAGGCGGTGGAACCACTGGGCTAAATCCCCAGCCGACTTTTTGTATCTTTATGACTAAGGAAGTAGATGTACCTTTAAATACTTCTGTTTTGAAAGGCTAAACTTTCTTATAAATTTGTATTTGTATTTTCCAAAATAAAGATGTTAACCTCTGTTGCATCTCCATGATTTTTTTTTTCTGGTTTGTTGACTGATTTTTATTAGTTTTAACTTGTCATTTCTACAGGGTCATACATTTGGCTTCAATCTTAGACCATGAAAGTGCTCAATGTGAGGTTTCTGGCTTGGCTGCCTTTCACTAACAGCTGAAAGGCTAATCTGATGTCACTCTTCTACATCAAGCGTTTGCTTCAAGGATAACATTCCAGGGCCTCTCACTTGCCCAGGAAGCCAGGGATGAGAACCTTTGCTTCTTCTCACCTTCATGTGCTATGCTGCACTGCCCTGCTTAAGGCTCGCCCTCTGTGCCCATGCTTCCAGCTCAGTGAATGATCCAAACTCATCTAAACTGAGTATGGGTGGTCCAGTCCCTTGCGCACTGCTGAAGCCTTGATTTCAGACTCATTTCTTCTGCACCTATGTCTCTACAAATCTGTCCCCTAGCATTTCCATTCGCTCATTTACTTCACTATTTCTTCTATCAAGACAGGTTTGCAGAAACTGGTCTGACACAATGTCCCAGCACTAGACTGTGAAACCTGGCATATTTGGTGCATAAAGTGACTAAAGTGCTCTTGCTATTTGTTCTAGAATTTTGGGTCACAGAAATAGCAGGCGGAAGTTTAACCTCCTTTTCTGAATATGCCAACAATCCTAAAAATCACAAAACATACAAAGTATGTCCCTGCCACCGAGCCATGGTTGTTCCTGCAATTTCTGGTCCATCATAGGATCTCTAGTCCCCAAAGTGGCTATCCTTGAACCACATGAAGAAAGAACGTGTTACTCAAATGGAGGAAGGAGGATCCTTGTTACACAGTGGGAATAACAGGTACATTGTGTCCTATAGTTGGTATGAAATGCAGAACTTATAAGCAATGAGCTTGGCTGTTTAGCCAAGGAAATTCCCAAGCCAAGTTTTTTTTTTTTTTTTTGAGAAAGGATCCCACTTTGTAGTGCAGGCTGGCCTAAAAGTCACTATGCAGCCCAGGCTGACCTCAAACTCACAGTGATCTTCATACCTAAGCCTTCCAAGTGCTGGGATTACACGTGTGTGCCACCACGCCTGGCCCAAATAAAGTCTTGAAGGTTCTGTCTGGTTTCTTCTTGCTATTTACAGCAAAATGAGAGGAAAGAGATAAACTGATATAAGAACTGTTAACCAGAATAACTCCTCTCCAGGTGACAAGATGCTGAAATGTAGCAATGGCCACACAGGAAAACAATGAGGATAAGATCTTTTGCTAAAACCCAAGAAAGATCACAGGTCAGTGCACTCAGCCATCAGCAGTGAAGGCTGTGCCTCATGAGTTTTGTCAACCAAACAGGAAACATATGGTAGCCTATAGGCATTGTCCCTCATTGGGTTTACCTGATGTCCTAAAAATGTAAGGGACAGGGAGCAGGTAGAGGAGGTGATGGCCCCAGTGCAGGTTCAAGAAGCAAGGTGACGAACTACTCAGCCACAAACACTGATCATGAAAAAAGGACCTAAGCAGAACCACTCCCAGAGGATAGAACATGGAGCTGTGAGTGTAATCTCGGGCACTGATGCCTAAGGAGTTTGCCCAGCCTTGGATGGGAGCTTCCCTGCTCCCTTCTCACTTTTTTGAGATGGTCTCACTATGTAGCTCAGACTGGCCTTGAACTTGTGGTGATCCTCCTGCCTCAGCCTCCAGAGTGCTGGGATTATAAGTTGTGCCACCACACTTAGCCCAGCTGTGTTGAGGACAGAGAGCCTCACTTATCTCTGAGCTTCACAGGTCCACAGGGAAAAAGGAATGGTGCCCAGGAAATATGGGTTCATGGTTTAGATGATCTGGACAATGAGATTCTGGGCTTTGGAACTGATTCTGTTCTGAGACAGGTTCCTCAGTAACCCTGGTGAGGGATGTGTTTTCCTTACAGGTGGCATACAAATCTTTGGGAGCCAGAGGGTAGACTTCAGTAGGCAAAATCCTAAAATGCTCCCTAAGATTCTATGAATACGATAAGGCTTCATGTCTGTGATTCTGTGACATGACACTGCAAAGGAAATTTTACAGATAGGATTCAGGCTTAAAGTCAGTTGACTTTAAAATAAGATTATCTTGGATCGTTTGGGTGAGTCTAATCTAATCACTCTAACCTTCTAAAAGCAGAGGTGGAAGACAGAGATATTGTGTGAAAAAGACTCAACATGCCAAATGATGCTCACTCTGAAGATGAAAAGCCCTCTAAGACCACAGTGGCTCCAAGCTGACAGCAGCAAGGAAACAAGAGACCTCAGTTACACAACCAGAAGGACCTGGATTCTGCCAATAACCTGAATGAGCCAAAGTGAACTCCTCTCCAGGCCCTCCAGATAAGCATCCACTCCACAATTTTGGTTTGTTAGACCCTGAACAAAGAATGCAGCTGACCCTAAAGAACATCATGTAATTATAGGACTGAGCTCATAGATAGGTACTGATGTACGCTGCTAAATTCATGCAAAATATAAAACTAATACACACCTATACAATCCACTGAGACCTTTCTTAACATTATGAACTTTTGGAGGAAGGCTAAATGCTCAAATTGCTATTTACCAACTTCTGTAGTAAGTATAGTAACAAATTTTGGTAATAATAATATCAAATGGTGATTGCTTTCCCAATTAAATCTTTACAATAGAATTTTGAGCTCATAAAATATTGTATTTATAGGGCTAGGAATTTAGCTCAATGCTTCCACTGCATGCCTTGCAAGTGCAAGGTTCCAAGTTTGTTCCCCGGTACCAAAAAAAAATTGTATTTATAGAAAAGAGTAATTAAGTTCATGTTTTCCTTAGTTCAGGTGTCTTAGGAACTTAGTTCCTAAGTTCAGGTGTCTTAGAAAAGAACATCAAGTTTTTTTCGTTTTGATTTTTTGAGACAGGGTCTCACAATATAGTCCAGGCCTGCCACCACACCCAGTGGACACTAAGTTATTGATATCATATTTAATAAATTATTTGAAACATTTTTCATCTATAGAATGTATTTAAAGACATCTTAAATGTCAGTTAAGAATATCTTTCATTTCATTATGCCGCACATCAGGTTTTTGGGTAGTTGTTTCAAAATGGTAATTGGTGCCAGGAATTTAGCTCAGTGGCACCCCGCCTGCCTCATAAGTGCAAGGTCCTGAGTTCGATCCCCGGTAATTGGTTACTGAGTAAATGCCGTAACTGGAATTATGATTTTGAAAATCATTTAAAAGATACTGACTGCCCTGTGATACAAGCTGCCTTGTTATATGCCTGCATAACTATTTCCTCCTAAATAACAGAATCTGCCCCAATTACCTTGAACTTCCAAGCCAAGAGTATTCCATTTAAATAATTATGGTAGGGCTGGGGATTTAGCTCAGTGGTTCCGCTGCCTCGGAAGCACAAGGACCCGAGTTCGGTCCCCGAAATAAATAAATAAATAGATAGATAGATAGATAGATAGATAGATAGATAAAGTAACATACCTGAAGAAAAACATGACAGTACATGGATCATATAACTCATACATTTTGTTGAAGTCAGGTACTTCGGTAATATCCACGAGATAAATAACTGCAAAATTTTTAACCTAAAAGTAAAGGGGATTTAAAAATTAAATAGGTAAACTGGGCAATTTTTAAAAAATTAATTATTCAACATTTTTACCCATAGAACTAGAAAATAATGTATAGAACATAGAAAGAATAGAACATAGAAAATAATGCAACACTGTCAGGACCCTGACCAATTGGCTAGTTGCAGCTCATTTTGACAGTTCTCAGAAGAGCTTAGGAACTAACTAAACTTAAGAAACAAGCTAAAGCCTTCAAGAAAATGGCCACAGAGGTATCATTTGCACCGATCTACAAATGATCTTTATGACCTTTTACAAATCCGTACTACATGTATTAAACAACTGGTCTAAAACATTCCTACAGAATTCAGCCATCCATTTCCCCCTAATTACTTAAATTTGAACGTTTGCAAATACTAACAGTTTGAACTCAAAGTAATATTGCATGATTTTTCTGTAACTTTAACTACAAGTTCATCACAAAAGTTTAGAAAAAACAGAAAAAAAACCCCAAACTATAGTGGTACCTTGGTTCACAGACTTGATTCTTTCCATGATTCTGGTTGTAATCCGAGTTGGATGAGAACCAAATCAAATTCAATAGTTAAATTCAATGAGGTACCACTGTAAAATAACTTTTAATCCCATACTAATGGGCAACTGCTATTAACATTTTTGCTTTATTGTCCCATCTTTTTTCTTCTAGGTATATTTAGAAAATCTATTTATATTGTTTTAACAAAATATGGTCATATAATTATGATGACACTGTCATTTCCTATCCTGATTTAATATGCCATTATTTCATCATTCTTCTGTTTTCTTACTGATTTTTCATGAATATCGCTCACCTATATATACTTTTTTGGTACTGGGGTAGAACTCAGGAGCTTGCGATTAAGAGGCAGGTTGGCACCGGTGAGCTACATCCCCGGCCTCGTTTGTACACACTTTTACCCTTAAACTTTTGGACATATTCCATTATTTCTAAGTATGAATCACAAAACAGAATCTCAGCAACAGTTCACATGTTAAAGGGTCTTTATAAATAATGTGTCAATGCCCTCTAAAAAGCTTATTTTCAATTTGTATGCATTATAGGTTGAACTGTGTCCCCCTCCCTTAAAAAATAGGAAATCCCAGTTCCCAAAACTGAGAAATGTGTCTTATTTAGAAAAAGAGTCACTGCAGATTCAGTTAAGGTAAGATGAGGCTTTGGAGTTAGCACAGAAGCCCACCATATAGCCAAGAGAAGAAAAGGGATGGTCGAAGGTGTAGCTCAGTGTTACAGCAAATGCTTATTACATATACGCCCCTGGGTTCAATCCCCAGCACCAGAAACAAAGACATCTAGACAGATTTCCAGGGGGCCCTGTGTTGAGGTCACAGCTCAAATCAGACAGGACTCAAAGGTGTTTGGCTTCTAGAAGGTCAATGGTGACCATGTGAGATGTGCAGGCCTGTGGCCAGAGTTAAGCTCTGAATAACAGAGGTGTTCCGTGTGTACAACTCTCCCAAGAGGGTTGGTATGAAAAGTTGGGAAATGGTGCTGATAGACTTGGAAGTTGAGACAGGAGGGGCTGGAACAGGCAGGCGGCAGGAAAGAAAGGTGAGTCTCTCCAGCGCCTAACTCCCTTCACTTCTCCGTGAAACAATAAATGGCATTTGTGGGTGGAAGGTGGTGAGCTGAGCAGCAAACATCCAGGGCTCCTGCTGCAAGTGCTACATCCTTATCTGTTTTGTAAATGAGGATATTCAGATATCTTCACTCAGTAATTCTGAATAATTTTCAGAGTGTAAATGCTAATTTTCGAGTAAGATATTTATTTCCTTTTTGTCAAAAAACAAGAAAACTGTAGGCCACCCAGAAGTAAAATAAACCATAACTAAATGAGGTGTCACAGTATTTTTCCCTTTTCTTTTCTGTATGAGTGGCATCATGTTCTTCAGATCAGTTTGAAGCCACACAAGGGGAATAATCTTGTCTGTCATCTGCGCTGAGGCCTCCTGGGAATCACAGTCTTAGACACATACAAAGCACTAGGGGGTGTTTATTGAATGAATGAGCTTTGATAGTAAAGGTATTATTTCAAATTCAAGAAGCAGATCACTATCACTGAAAATGTGTCTTTGGAGAGTATAGACTTAACATAATTTTTATTATATAATCTTAATATTAATATAAAAATCTTAATTCTATAGTCCTGCCTTAAGAGAGGGTCTAACCCAGCCTACTACTTAGGGCCAGAGCCCTAGAAGCAGGCTCAATACTTCTAGTAAGGACAGAGTCACCATCTACAAGCTGTATATCTAATTTGGTAATTATGTGAGAAAATACTAGTGTAACACCAAATTTGCCCTCCTTGACCTTTAACTCCTGAGCTCCCCTGCCCCCCATCTCCTTGGAGGAGCTCTGTTCTGCTGGGGTTTCATGGACACTGGCATAAGCTTCCTTCCATGTTGGCTAAAATGAGAGATATGGTAGTACTATTTCTGAACATTTCAATTCATTAATAAACTTGCAGTTCACTAAAGCACCAGTGTATTTTTTATATAAGTTAAGCTAGGTGTCCATTATTTTTTCTCCAATTTAAAAATGTTCAGGGCGGGGGATTTAGCTCAGTGGTGCTGCCACCTGCCTTCCAAGTGCAAGGTCCTGAGTTCCATCCCCCGTACCAAAAAACAAACAAATAAATAAAAATGGATCCAGCCACACCGAGCACACAGGCAGGGCGCCAGAGAGAGGTACCAAGTCCTGGGACCCCATCCCATCCAGCCTGCGCCAAGCACACTGGCAGGGACCAGCCAGAAGGTGAAGACCCCTCGCCACTGGCCATGCCCACACCTCTTGGCTATACAGCTACCCGGTTCCACACTACAAAGACACAGGGGACACCAGACCACCGTCCTGGGTAAGTTGGAGGGATCATCACCTCCCATTGGAACCTGGACTATCTTCAGGGGAAGGGCAGGTGGAACCTGCAATACAACCTGGCAGAGTTCAACCCTACAGGAGGACAGGGAGCTCAACTTGGGACTTGCCACCAGAAATCTGCCTGAATCTCATGCATCTGCGACTGGCTTGCTGAGACTCACTGACTTATATCTGCACACTGCTGCCCACGGTGTCTATTGTGTCTATTGTCTATTCATTTTCATTTTTATTTCCAAAATTATTATTATTGGGGGTTTTTTTGCTTATTTTTTCCTACACTTATCAAATTTTAATTTTTCTCTTTTTTTTTCTTTTCTCTTTCCTTTCTCTCTCTCTCACTCACACTCTTGCTGTCCCACATTGTTCTTCATCTCCCTTTTGTTCCTGTTCTGGCCCTAATTCAGATTTCTCCTTTATTTTTCTTTTATTCTCTTTTTCCTTCTCCTGCCTGTGTCCTCTGGCCTCACTGCTAACCTTTCCCTATCCTTCTACCTATCTATGCCTCCCTCCCCAACTCCTTCTGACTCCCCATCCTGAAGGGTAAAGTTGCTATATTGAAGAGTTTATTCACAATAAACATATGTTGGGTTGGTCCTCGATTTTGATTTAATTCACACAGTTAAAGGTGAGAGATTAATAACTTTCATAAATTGTCATTTTCTAAGATGTACTTGATGCTAGGGTGTTGCTGATTGTATCACTTGGGCTAAGATGTTGTGATTGATCTAGTCAGTGGTCCTTCCTGTTATAATGAAAACGAGATAGCCTCAGTCATTAGAGACTCAAAATGCTATATTTTGAAGACATCTTTGAGAAGCAATTATTCCATAACGGTTCTAATTACAAGCAACAAAGAGACTTGCAATAAGCAATATTGAACTATCAACCCAGGAATTAAACCAAGGACAGTACCAAAAACAAAAGTGAGAAGACATTTAAGCAAGGCACAAACTCAGACTTCCACCCCACCAAGGGTAAATCCTGGGGGAAACGAGGTGCAAAAGCCTGATAATCAACCACCTGGACACCCTGAACTGATAGCACAGGAAGTAACAAAACAGATGAATGAGGCTCTAGAAAAATTGAAAACAGAAATAATCTCCCAGGTAACTACAGAGATGGTGAGCAGAGTGAAAGACATGATTAGAGGCTCTAGAAAAGAGATAAAAAAAAATAGATGAGTTCAGAAACATGCTAGAAGCCACGAATGCCCAGCATAAGAAAGAAATGGAAACCATGATTGCCCAGCATAAGAAATGGAATCCATGAAACACATTCAAACAAATATTGAGATTAAAAACTCTATTGAAAGCATGCAGAACAGATTAAGGGAATCCGAAGATAGAATATCAGATACAGAAGACAGGATTGCAGTTAAGGACCATGAAAACAGAAATTTCTTAAAAATAGTAAGGGACCATGAGAAATCAATCCAGCAGTTGCTAGACAATGCAAAGAAGAATAACATAAGACTGACAGAAGTCCACGTAAAAACAGGAGAAAGCACAATTGACATAAAAAAACTGTTCACAGAATACTAGAAAACTTCCCAGACAGGTGGAGAATTGGACAGATAACTGAGGCATATAGAACTCCAACTAGCCATGATCAAAAAAAATCTACACCTAGACATACAGCAGTCAAGATCCCAGAAACCCAACAGAAGAACAAAATCCTACAAGCAGTTAGAGAAAAGAAACAAATCACCTACAAAGGAAAGCCCATGAGAATCACAGCAGACTTCTCAACACAAACCCTCAAGTCAAGGAGAGCCTGGAGTGAAGTATTTTAAAGCCCTAAAAAAAATAACTTCCAACCTACACTGTTGCATCCTGCAAAATTATCTTTCAAAATTGATGGGGAAATTAGATACTTCCATGACAAAGAACACCTGAGAAATTTCATGAACACCAAACCAGCATTCCAAGGAATTCTAAATAATATCCTAGAAAAAAACAATGAAGGTCAAAACTCCATGAGGCCCAACAGAGGGAAGCCACCAGGCAATACAAGAAACTAAAGGGAAAGGGGGAAAAATAATAAATAAAAGAGCCAACAAAAGTAAAATATCATGACAAGGATGAGTCAATATCTATCAATTATAACCACTGATGTTAATGGCCTCAATTCACCAATCAAAAGAAACAGACTGGCAGAATGGATTAGGAAGCAAAATCCAGCAATGTGCTGTATACAAGAAACACACCTAACTCAAAAAGAAATTCATAAACTAGAGAAAACAATCCAAAACTTCATTTGGAACCAGAAGAGACCTAGAATAACAAAAGAAATTTTAGGCAACAGAGATATGGCTGGGGGTATTACACTCTCCAACTTGAAACTATACTACAAAGCTACTGTGATAAAAGCAGCATGGTATTGGCAAAGAAAGAGATCCAAGGATCAGTGGAATAGATTAGAAGATGCAGAAACAACTACAGATATACTCAGCCACCTCATCTTTGACAAAGGAGCCAACCATCCTCATTGGAGGAAA